GAGAGAGAGAGAGAGAGAGAGAGAGATACAGACAGTCAGTCAGTGAGAGGCAACGTGAGAAATAACCTTGCAGGGGGGATGGCCATATCACAATATCACAATCGTTTCTCCTCCAGTCTCCTCTCAGGATCTTGGGCAAGCAGGCATGCATGCCCTACATGAGTTTCAAGCCACTGGGTCTGGGATTCAAACCATGGTTGGCCATGTGGAAGTCCAGTAACATAACCACTTTGCCATCTGCTGGACCCTCTAGATGAGCATTTAAAAAAATTAATTTATTTCTTCCATGAGTGAGTAAAAGAAAGAGACAGAGAGACAGAGACAGAGGCAGAATCCACCTCCAACGGGTTCTTGATAACCACAATCCATCTCTGGTTTCAGCCAGTCCCAAATCATGGGCAGAAAAGCGCCTGGCATACTCAAGGAGGTCTCGGGATATAAACCTGGAACCTTCTCATATAGTCAGTCTTGCAGAGCATCGTGTTTTACCTGTGCACATCTGTCTGACCCCTTATATAGCAGAGCATTTTTAAAATATGTGCAATGACCTGTCGTTGGTGGTGCAAGTAAAAAATTATTGACTTGTGATACTGGATGCCACATGGCCAACTATGTGTTCATATCCAGTGTTGACCTGAAATATGCTGGGCACATGTGTACCCAAAACCCCAATGAGATGGTGAGTCAAAGGAAGGGGACTGCATCATGATGAGACCCTGTAGGAGGTGCCTCTCTCTCTTACAAAAGAAATGAATAAATTTTAAAAGGAAATATATGTGGTTAATATTCTTTTCCATATACTTTTATTTATTTTTTTGAGAGATTTTTGCTACAGGGTGCATGCACTGTCTGAAGAGACAGACAGAAAGTGAAAAACCATCCCCCCAGAGAGAATAGCCATGCCACAATCCTTTCTCCTTCATTCTCCTCTCAGGATTTTAGGTATGCATGTACATGTGCCTGGCATGAGTTTCAATCTACCAGGACTCAGGTCCACAGTCAACCACATAGGAGTCCAGTGCCTTAACCACTACATCACCTGCTCGTCCCTACTACATGCTTTTAAATATCTTCATGGTATTTCTTTTTTATTTTATTATTATTATTATTTTTTGGGGGGGAGATTTTTGCTAGAGGGCACATACGCTTGCCAGAAAGACAGAGAGACAGAGAGAGAGAAAGTGAGAAATCACTCCCCAGGTGGTATGGCCACGCCACAATCCCTTCTCCTCCATTCTCCTCTCGGGATCTTGGGCACACATGCACACACGCCTGGCATGAGTTTAAGCCACTGGGTCCGGGACTCGAACCACAGTCGACTACATAGGAGTCCAGTGACATAGCCATTATGCTAACTGCTGGTCCCCATGGTATTTCTTCATATGCAGGACATTTTAATATTTATGGACCAGGATATACATACATTTTCCATTTTGAATTGTTTCAGTGTAATGCTTTAAAAGTTCACCCCATCCTGGGGCCAGCAGATGGTATAATGGTTATGTTGCTAGACCCCTACATGATCCACCGCAGTTTGAGTCCTGGACCTGGTAGCTTGAATCTCATATTGGGTGCTTGTATGTGCATGCCCAAAATCCTAAGAGGAAAATGGAATAGAAGAGATTGAAGCATGGCCATATCCTGGGGGGATGATTTCTCACTTTTTGTCTATCTCTGTTTTTCTCCAAAGAAAAAAATAAAGTTTAACCTCTCCTAAGATTGTATGATTATTCTATATATTTCTTTTAGTTATTGTATAGTAATATTATTTTCCCCAAATAGTTATTCCATCTTTCGATTCCATTTACTAGATAATGTAATTTTCCTCACTGACTTGAAATTTTTCTTTATCACATATTAATTTGTGTCTTTCGGTTGTTTCTGTTCTTATTGTTTTATTAACCTGTGTCTTCTTGTAGCAGAAACCCACTTTAAACATTATTAGTTTTATGATGTTTTCATATTTGAGGCTATAACTGCTTTTCATTTTTAATTTTCAAAATGATCTTAGCTACTTAGTATCTGCTTTTCTTTTGAAGAAGACATTCAGAATCATTCTCTGCCAACCTCCAGTGATTAAACTTGCACCATATTTAGAAAGGCATTTGAGAAGAAATTACTTCTCTTGGTGTTCAGTTGTCTAATTCACTAATCCCTCTCTGAGAGTCATTATTAGATGTGCTTTGATGTGCACAGCTCCTGAGCCGATTCCTAGTTTCTGGAAGTTCTTAAACACGTAAAGGTCTATTCCAATCCAGCTGATAATTAGGCATGGATATCAAAGAATAGATATAGAAAGTTGACAAGCAATGTGTTTTATCAATTCAAGAAGTATACAGTAAAGATTAGCTCTTCGTTTATTTCACTGGTACAAATCTGAGTCTCAGGGAAGGACAGCAGGGGTGGGGGTACATAGCTTATCTTTGTTTCAGAGATCTCTCTTTTCTGAGACACAGCCTTGAGTAGGTTTATAATAAAAACCAGAGCTTATTCTTAAATATATTTCTTGCTCTAGGTCAGGCATCATTCTGAGTATGTTCCACATATAAACTCATTTAATTCTAACTACCACTCTGTGAGGGAAATCCTATTATTATTCTAGTTTTACAGCTTATCTTAGTTGAACTCCATATGCCTTACAGCAGGTAGAAATTTACTTTAAATTCTGGCATCAGGTGGTCTATCAAATTAATTTTTAGTGTACACTTTATCCTTTCCTATCTTTTATTAATGTTCTAGAGTTATACTCAGGGAGACACTTGGGGCTGCTAGCCAAGTGCATTTGAAACTGAAATTCATCGTTTAAAACCTTTTATTCAAAAATAAAACACATACAAAATTCAAAATTCAAAACTACTCATACTTGCCATCTAGATTGAGAAATAGATCTTTGCCAGTCACCCCAGGAGGGCCTCCGTTTGCATCATCCTGGTCTTGACACTTCCTGTTCCACTAGAAGTAACCCCTGCGCTGGATCCCGCGTGGACAATCATGTGACCCAAGTCCCTGACACAGCAGCTCGAACAACATGCCGGCACATGTATATGTGTGCCCAAATTCTGAAAGGCCTTCCTTTGTTTCTTCTGTTCCCTGCAGATTGGTGGATGGTTCCAGGGACCTGATCAGATTTAGGGTTGAGGACCTGGCAAGACTGTGAATGGTGTTGAGTTTTTTAAAAAAGGAAAAGAGGCAACCCCAATACTGACTTTCCCAGAACCACTTCCTCAGATTTTCATAGTGTAGGGCAGCATTAATGTACTCCACTAATTACCAAGGTTTAATCTTGGCCAATTTTTAAAAATTGACCTACTTTATTTTTAAGAGAGAGATTTTTACTATAAGGCACATGTGCTAGCTAGAGAGACAGAGAGAAACAGAAACCAAGAAATCACGTCCCCGCCCCCCCCCCCCCCCCCCCCGGGGGGGGCG